TACAGAGAGGAAGGGAGAGGGATAGAGAGTTAGAAACACCGATGAGAGAGAAACATCAATCAGCTGCCTCCTGCACACGTCCCACTGGGGATGTGCCCGAAACCAAGGTACATGCCCTTGACCAGAATTGAACCTGGGACCCTTGAGTCTGCAGGCCGATGCTCTATCCACTGAGCCAAACTGGTTAGGGCAATTAATTCCCTTTTAATGCACATGAATTTCATGCACCAAGCTACTAGTTTATAATGAATCTCTTTTCAGTGATGTCCTGAATTGAATATGCTGTTTCTTGGATTCCTTGTCTTCCAATTACCTTTAAAAAAAAGTCAAAGGGCTTGGCCAACATGGCTCAGTGGTTAAGCTTTGATGTATGAATGAACCAGGAAGACACTGTTGAATTCTCCATCAGGGCACATGCCTGGGTTGCAGGCTAGATCCCCAGTGGCGGGTGTGCAGGAAGTAGCCAATCAATGATTCCCTCTCATCATCCTCCTCTCTCTCTCTCTCTCTCTCTCTCTCTCTCTCTCTCTCTCTCTCTTTTTACCCCTCTCTCTCTCTCTCCCTCTCTGTGTCTCTCCCTCCTTCCCAAAAAGTTATTATACATATGGGAATTTTATAATTCTCAATGTCAATTGCTTAGATTTAGTCAATCTGACATTGACTGTAGTACAAATTTTTAAAGTAATCAAAAAAATTAAAGAAGAGATTTGGTACCTCCCAAGCCTATACATCATTATATTTAACTAGAGGCCCAGTGTACAAATTCATGCATGGGTGGAGTCGGCCGACCTGGCCCCAATGGGGGCGGACTGAGGCTGGGAGGAGGAGACAGCATGAGTTTGGCCAGCCAGCCTGCCCCGATTGGGGTTGGGTGGGTAATTGGGGGTAATGCCAGCTGTGCGGAGGGGCTGTGGGGGTGGACAGGCTGGCCCCATGCCCGAATGGGGTCAGGGGTCTGATCTGGGGTTAGAGGCCTTGGGAGGTGCTGTGGGAGGTTGGCTGGCCAGCCCTGCCCCTGATTGGGATGGGAGACCAACCTGGGGTGGGGTCAGGTGGGGCCAGGGGATACAGGAGGTTGGCCTGTGGACCCTGTCCCCTATTGGTATGGGGGGCAATCAGAGGTGGGGCCAGCTCGGGGAAGGGG